GAGGGTTGCGGTAATCATCATTTGATGATGATGATGATGATGAACTCGAAAATGAATTGACCAAGATAATATCACTTTGTTTTTGAAATACAAAAACGACCAAATCATCATGATCATCGTTGTCGTCGTCGTCGTCGTCATTGACTATGACGACAATCCAATTCAAATTTGATTAGGGTTGATTTCTGCTTAGTGTGTGGTGTGTCCATGTCAACGATAATAGTCATTAACATCATGGTGATCATTTCGATGATGATGATGATGATGATGATAATGATAACCGGGTGATGGAATAGTGATTCAAATTTCATGTATCATTATTTTTTTTTTCAATTTCATTTTTTCTTCGTTTGTGGTCCAATGATTTTCAAGATGATGATGATTATATATGTCCAGGTATTAGTGTCCAATTCAATGACAAAGAGAGAAAGAGAGAGAAGAAAAAATTCTAAAATTTTTCAATTTTTTTTTGTCTGATGCTTTGTTTCATTCACACAAACAACAAGCCATTAGAATCAAAACTTGTTTTGTTTTTGTTGTTGTTGTTGAAGCTGACACTTGATCCGATTGATGAGATTTCATTTCATTATGATTATTATTGATTATGGAATCAACCAAATGAAAATGTTTTGTTATTGTTGTCCGGATGATGAAACATTTCGAAAAAGGAAAAGAAAAAAATTGGATTTCCCAAAAAAAAATAGGCAGACAGAATGAAGAGAGCAAAGATAATGTTGCAAACATATGTGCACACCGGATAGTAACAATATTTACCGTATATTTACACTTGGTTCGATATTATCGACCGGCCGGTAAATATGAAACGAGCGAAAGAGAAAAAAAATTGGATTTTCCCAAAATAAAAAAAAGACGGATGATGAAAGAATGTAAAAAAAAAAAAATTCGAAAGTTTTCCATCCACTGACACCCAGAATCAGCCGTTAGATTAGATTGATAATTTGATGATGAAATGTTGAAACAAACAAACAAGCAAAAAAATAAATTGAATTTGAAAAAAGTAGCTTAGACTAGCTTAGCTACTAGTGTATGTGTCTGTGTCTGTGTTGTGATGATGATGATTGTCATTGTCATCGATCCATTTTTTTCGGAATTTTTTTTCCGTGCCTCTGTTTGTGTATCAACGGATGAATGAAACAAATTTAAATGAAGAAAAAACAATCTTTTTCCTATTGACATTACACATGGTTGACATTGTGCTATAACTAAATGGAACGTTTGTTCGTCCAATTTGACAAGTTGACACATTTCTTCCTTCCGGGCAAAATAAAATGTTTATTCTTTTCCTCTGCACTATCGTTTTTTTTTTGTTGTTGTTTGATGAAAATATTTCCAATCTGATTTCGGGTTTCATTATTTGTTAACTCTGATTGTGAATCTGAAAATGGAATTGACAAAAAAAAAAAAAATGATTCAAGCATCAATTACCCTGGCCAAAAGGACCTGATTCGACAATGCTGTTTTCTTATTTTTCTATTCTTGTGAACTAATTAGAAAAAAAAAAAAAAAATAAAGACCAAATTCATTTTGTTCGTTTGTTTTTTTTTGTTAATCCAGAATCGAAACCAGAAATAGAGGCAGTGAGTGAAAATGAATGAATTTTTTTTTTGTTTCGTTTCGTTGAACCAGACTAATTAATGAATGAGAAATAAGTTCAATCTAAACATTCACAAGCAAAAAAAAGAAAAAGTTTTTCAATTCAAATCACTATCAATGTTCCAAGAATGAGTAAAAAACTGTTACTATTAAATTGAAAACGATAAAACTTTTTTCTCTTTTTCTAATTCATTTTTTTGTTGTTGTTGTTGTCGATTCATTCATTTTATTTTTTCAGTTTCTCTCGAAATCGGTTTATTTGTTTCAATTTTACAGATTCAACAACACAACATCTTAATACAATGACGGCGAGAAGGACAATGGATTGTCGAATCGTGTCAATTTGATTCTCTACAGAGGGTAATAATTAATTGACTGTAATAATTCTTGAATTGACTGTCTGTGTGTGTGTGTGTGTGTGTGTGTTAAAACATTGGAAAAAAAAAAAAAATTAACGATGAATAAAGAAATGATATTTGCGATTACTTTCCATTTCAATTTCCTGTGATTCAAAACAATTGAATGTTTGTTTGTTTGTTTTTCTTGGGGTTGATAAGATGAATGTCTCCATTCGAAGCATCATTTCAATTTAGACTAACTGGTAACAATTTAAATTTTTCACAGACAAAAAAAAACTAAAATAAATCAAAAGAAAATTGTCGTAAAGAAAATTGACCAAAAATTTACGATGAATTTTGTGTGAGCGAATGGGTATATAATAAACCAATTAATATTTGAGAGAAAAACTTTGAAAATTATTTGCAAATAAACCCGAAAAAAACCACCACCACAACCGAAAAAGAAAACGTTAATATTCAGTCATAAAATTATTCATCACAATCTCACGACCTAAAAAAAACACGTGCTTTATGAGATGATTTAAAGACAGCGAAAAATCGTAAAAAAAATTCAAATTCTCTATTTCAACAGTTTTGGCAAAAAATCTATTAAGTAACTTTCAGTGTAAATTATTATTTCCACTTTTTTTTTGGTTTGTTCGCACACTTTTTTTTATTGATCACCACCATCATCATCATAATAATTTGAAATTCGAGATACATTTCATGTTGCCATTTTTTTTCTCTCTACAACGCATAAAGTAGAATTTATTGAAAACTTTACACTGGTATTAATAATGCGAAGGAAGGAAGTTCCAATTCATTTATCCCAGTTGAATTGATCATCATCAACATCAACAACATCGCTGACACACACACACACACACAAGTTGTCACATGTCTCGAGAAAAAAAAAATTCTACTGCTGAACAGAGACTAACAAAAAAAAACGATTTCATTTTCATTTTTAATTCAACAACAACAAGAAAAAAAAACGAAAAATCGAAAATTTTTCGTTTTTTAAATTAAATTTTACGTCTCAATGACATTCGTGTGACTATCACTAGATACACAAACAGATATTATATTTACCGGATTCTCAGAATCTCAATCAGTGAGGAATTTTCTTCCACTTTTTCTATGATGATGATGATGATGATGATGAAATTTAACGAGGAATTTTTTTCCGCGAAACGAATTCATCTTGTTCATCATTATTAGTGTACAAAATTCTGTTGAAAAAATAAATGAAAAAAAACTATCGAAATCAGTAAAAAAAAGATCAGAATTGAAATTAAATTAAGTTTTAATATTTCATTTCGTTTTTTTTTTTTCTTCTCTTCATTTTTTCAGTTTCTTTTTTTCATCATCATCAGTCGATCGATATGGTTCTTGATCATCATCATCATCATCATCATCATCATCATCATCATCGATCGATCACTGATGATGATGATGATGATGATCAAGTTGGTTTCAAATGCGAATCTGGTGTTTTTTTCAAATTTAATTCAAATTTCATTCAAAAATGTTTTTTTTTCCATTCACGGTGATGATGAAACACACTTTGTTTGTTTGTTTTTCTCCACCTGAGAATCCACTACAATCCAATTCGTTCATTTTTTATTCATTTCTATTTTCATTCAATTTTTTATTATTTATTTCAAAATTAAATCCTTTCGAATCTATTTTTTTTGCACCAAACAAAAAAAAATATACATCACCACCTACGATTCTGGATTTTTTTTTCTAAGATAAATTCATAACAAGATTTCATCACCATCATATCTACTATTGTCATCGAGCGGCTAAAAAAAATGACAATTTTGTCACCACCACCAGTACCACCAACCAATCGCTAGTCAAATCGTTTAACGCGGTTCTAGAGATAGAATCGAAAAAAAATAAAATAAAATTATAATTTTAAATTGTATCTCATGTGATGACTTGAATTTTTTTTTTATTTTTCAATCAAAACACAGTATTTATAAGTGCGTGTGAGTTTGTGAAAATTTATATATACATTGTGTAAATCTTTTTTCTTTCTGAAACTGGAAAAAAACAGGATTTGTTCCTGTGTTCCAGAATTTTGTAAGTTATGAATTATTTTATAAGGTGCAATACATGTAGCAAGCAAAAAAAAAGTCGCTAAAAATTATTCGCCATCATTGATTTGATTCAATTTGGACATTTTTTCAATTCCTCTCTATGATTCTGATTTGAAATTGTGGACAATTTTTTTTTCTTTACTTTGTCTTTCGGCTCCCGAATGCGCGATATTAGATTCGTTGATATTATAAGGCAGACAGAAAATACTGTACTACCATCAAAGAAAGAATCGTAACATTTCATTGATTTCATTCCATGAACAAGTTTTGTTCTCTCTCTCTCTCTTTTTCAAGTAGATTGAATTTCAGGTTAAAGAATAGAAGCAATGAATCATGAATTGAATGGGAAGGGGAAAAATGAATGGATCATATTTTTTTCTGGAATCCATCATCATCATTTTTTCTTCTTATTTTTTTCGATAAAATTATTATTGTTCGTTTCAGGAACAACACACACACACGCACACCAAACATTGAATCAAAGATTTTTCTCCTTTGAATCGAAAAAAATGGATTCACAAATTATAATAATATCATCTCTCTCGTGCACTACAGCAGCATTTGGTTGGCGTCACCCCTAAGGCCATAATTTAATTTTGGATCATTTTTTTCTTCTTCTTTTCTTACTTTTATCGGCAAAAAAGATCCATTTTTTCTATTATTCGATCTAAAAGATAATATTGATAAAAAGAATGATGTGAAGAGAGAGAGAGAGAGCAAGAATATTCTAGGCAAACTTTTTTTATTTTTCCAAAGAAAATAGAACAGAATATTCAATCATCAAATCAGAATTAGAATAAAGGAAGAAAATGATGAAAATTTCCACATTAACATTGTGTGTCAATTGATTGATTTTCCAATATTTTTCTTTGCTGATTGTTATTTGTTTTTGGGATTTTTTGGTTCCGGTTGTTGTTTTTTCATCACTGTTGTTGTTGTCTTTGCACTGGCTGATTTTTTTTGTAATGAAATTTTTTTCGACCCTGTTGCCGACTTTTTATTATTATTACCGTAGATTGCAGAAGATTTTATTGTTTCTGGCATATTTAGAAATGATTTTCTTGGTTTTTGTGCTTGTTCTTTTTGAAATTGTTCAATTTTTGTCTGATAAAATCCATTACGATATAATAGTTTATCTGTCAATGTTGTTGGCCGTACGATCAGTTGCCGTTTAATACGTCGTGTTTCATCCATCAGCCATTGTTTTATTGAATTTTGATATGGATACAGACGACCAAGATAAAGATTCAGGAATTGTTCAAACATTTGATGTGACCACCCGATTTTTGCTAGATCCATATCTGTTACATCCACAGAACTAACAGTAATTTCACAATTACGTTCCTCCTTGACCATTGTATCCGTATTCGGTTGTGTCCACAGGTATGTACAATTGAATGATTTCATGTAGAAATATATTCCATTACTAACAATATCCAATTTCTGTGCCGTAGATAATCGATCAATATGTGAATCATCAATACGAAAATAAAGATTCCAAAGAATCTCTAATCTTGAACGCAAAACATCATAATAAGTATAAAGAACTTGTTGTAATGTAAATATTATCAGCGGGCGATATGGCCGTGATTCTTCTTCTTCCATACAAAGCATTTGTATTCTGGCAGCCATTTCTGGATCAAATTTCATCTGCGTAAAAGGCAACGTTGGTAATATGTCATTCATTTCATTCCAAAACATTATATGACCTTTGAATATTCTTGGATTCTGGTCCATTTTTAAATCAATTTGTATTTGATACCAATCAACATATAACAGGTCATTAATTGGTATTGAATCGAAATAAGTGAAATCCAAACCATCATTATTGTAATAAGCATCAAAACATTTAACACCTTCCTGTAGGATGACCATTGGAAATGATGTCAGTCGACATAGAAATATTGATCTTGTATAGAATGTATGATGTGGATTTTTCAGATTACAATATCTAGGTGTGCCTTCGATTGCGACATACGCTCCGGAACGAATCAAACGAACAAATGGTCCTGGTTTTTCTTCTGATTCACGGGCAATTTTCCTCTGCAATCTATCAAATGCACAATTTTGATCCAAAATAATGGCGAAACAGTCTTTACTAAGGAAAAAATTGAAACGTTCTGAATAAAAATTTCGATCATCTTTTGGTTTTTTCGTTACAAATGTTTCTTTCACTTTATACAAATCAGGCAGTAATTTTTCCACATAAATATGAACCAAATCATCATGACGTTTTAATAATCTTTTGATTTTTTCTTTACCACCACCACTACTACTACGCGAATTATCTTCCAATGATGATTGATTCGATAATGATTCATCGCTTGGTTCACGACTTAGAATATCAACCAATTTCTGTAAATGTGTTCTTGCACGTATTGCTTGACGATTACATGCCTGTGAACTACGTGCCATAACCTGTACCATATTCTGTGATAAACGATGTGGAAAAAAATGATCACGTACCGAATCCAAATCATCAATGAAATCCACATATTGTGTAACATTCAGATTGATATCATTTTTACATGCTGATTGCATAACAAACAATAAATTGGCATCCAATCGTGTTAGATGTGTCGTCAACTCGGTACGATATACGCCAAGTTTGATTGATTGTTCCATTGATGACCAACAATTTGAGGATGTGGATCTTGCACAAACCAGATAACAACCCGGATTCATCGAACGATTTATGCTATTGATTTATAATCGATCAATTAATCAATCATTCAGATTATGTTACTCTAATTTGACTTACTTATTTTTGATCCATTTCGGATCAATTGGTAATTCATTTGGATAACCAATCATAATGGGAAAAATGTAATCACAAAAATCTGCCGGTAATATTGGATCACCATCAATGATTAGATCCGTTTCTGGATCATATTTCACCAGATAATTATCTACCATTTTTAATGCTGATGAAAGATCAGAAAATCGATGACTCCATACCAGTAAGCCGGTGGAAAGAAAACGTTCTGGATCTGGTGGTGGTGGTTTTTCAACCGAATTATCACGTATTAAAATATTAGATTTACTAAAACTTTCATCACTCGATAGTGATGATGATGATGATGATAATGGTGGCGATGATGACATTGTTTATTTTGCAAATGAAAAAAAAGTTTCGTTTTTTTCTTATTTCGACCGATTAACTAAGCAATTTTTATACGTTGAGAATTTCGAATTTTTTCTTGAATTCTAAATTTATTTAGAAATTTTCCACAAGTTAATTTATTTTCTTTGTGAATACAATCAATTGACTTGTTTTTTTATTTTGTTTGGATTTCTTTTTTTCATTTTATTCTTGATTCTTATATTAAAATTGAAAAAGAAAAAGTTTGACCATTTTTTTATTCATATTCAAGACATAAAACATGGAGCCTCTCTCTCTCTCTCTTACGAATAATGAAAGATTGAAAAAAGGCCGCCGTTAGATCTAGAATTTCATCATCATCATCATTGTCGAGTAGATGAGACATTTGATATCAAATTTCTTTGGAGGGAAAAAGACTTTTTTTTATGACCAAAACAAACACATACACCTCCATGGTGGTGATTGGGTCTATTCAATTCTAAATCGAATGAATAGAATACCATTGAATCCTTGTCATCGTTGTTTGTTGTTGTCGTTGATGAATTTAAAAAGAATCATCAAAAAGAAGAAACAAATGTAATAGAAAAGCTCCTCTAAACTACAATCAAATATCAGCCATGAAGAAGAAAAATTGAATGACGCAAACTACATGATGATCATCATCGACAACAAAATCTATTTCATTCAGTCAACGTGGAAATGACATATTTATGTATGATAATAATGATATAATTGCCCCATCCATCTGATTCCATTCCATTCACATTCATTTTGTGTGTATTTTATGTATTTCTACCCTATTTCCATATAGAACAAAAAAAAATGATGATGATGATGAAAGAAAGAAAAGAAAAAACAAAGTAAATAATATGAAATAGTGAGAGGCGTAAAATGAACCAGAACAGCAAAAAAAAAAGTTCCACAATGTTAAAATGTCTTATTATTGGATCATTGGCCAAACAATAATAAACAAGTCAAATGCATGAATCTTGCATTTGTTGTGTGTGTGTGCGTGTGTTTGCGTTGGACAAGTTTTGGAAAATAAATAAATAAATAATATTCAAGAAATGCACAAAAAAAAAGAAATAAATGTCAAAAATGCTCAAATGTTGATTTGAACTTTGCCATGAATTCATGAGTGGGTACGTGGAAAGTTTTTTTTCTCTCTCAAAAAAATTCTTACTCTCTGGATTTGACAAATTTATTTTCAAATTGATTTTAGCGATATTTTCAAAAAAAAAAAATTTGAAAACATAAAAATGATGAAAATCTCTTTCTAACTTGCCTTGTGTTATATTTTGGTTTTTTTTGCAACATACAAAATTCCATATGGAAAAAATTATTGTCATCATCATCGTCAATGATGAAGCAGCGCATTATGAAAAACGATGATAATGTACATTGTATATGAATAATTCTTCATATTTTTTTCTTCCTGGTTATTTGAATTATGATGATGATGATGATGTTGGTGGTAATTATTATCATCATCCATTCAATTCATTCATTTTGTGCATCATGGCTTATGATTATTGCCAACCCAGGCACACAAATATATCGTCGATTTTTGTTGTTGTTGTTGTTTGGGCCTCTCTTCTTCATTTTTCAATGACCATAACTAACTAACTAACTAACTAAATGAACCAAATAACTATAACAAACTATTTATATTCTGTATATGAGAGAATGAATTTGGTCAACAAAAAGTAATTCATGAATGAAGCAAATTATTATCATCCATAACATCATCATCATCATCATGGTGATGTTTTGATGATGACATTTAGTTCAACCATTGAGTTTTCGTTATTCCATTTTTTTCCTGTTCTTCTTTATTACAATGATTGTCCGGGAAAAAGAAAAGAGAATTTATTCTCGATTCTATAGCTGTGTGTGTGTGTGTGTGTTTTTTTGTTTCAACAAATAATATTCTCTCAATTCTAGATGCTCTATACATTTATCTATCTATGAAATGGATAGTGGAATGTGTGTGTGTGTGTGTCCATTAAAAAAAATCATCATCATCGTGATGGCCATAAAGTTGGTCATTTGTGTCCATGTTATTGTTGATGATGGGTATGAGTATGGATTTTCGATGGCCATGATTATGATTACTGATGATGATGATGATGATGACTTAATCATAAGCTTTGGCATTCCGTTGGGTTTTTTTATGTATGTATGTTTCACATATGGATATTTGAATAGAATAAAAGTGGCCTGTTTTTTCGCTTGTTCTCTTCATCTCCATGTATTAGAATATAATGGTGTGACGAAAATTTTTTTCTATCTATTTTTCATTGGATAGTGGGATGTGATCCATAAATTTTATCAAAAGAACACATTGTCAATGTGACTAGGTCCATACAGAAAAACATTGTTTAACACCAGTTGTAAGCTGAGGGATTGATTAGTTCTTTATTAATATTATTATAATTATTAGATGTTGAAGGGTGTTATAAGTTATACTTATTAATTGACTATTTGGATGAAGTAGTAGCCATTGTGTATTCACGGTTTGTATGCAATACTGAAGCCTATTTGGGCAAACCATGTCCTTCTGTTGAACAGTTTGGTTGATTATGGCTTATTCTATTTGGAACATACCAGTTCACAAATGTCCTGTTTGGGCTATTCAAATTCATCATGCTATCTGTTCGACATAAAAATTTGGTGCATATTCCAGACTTCCATATATATGAATTTAAGTCATTCAAATACTTACTTCAAAGCTGGGTTAGATCTGAACCAAATCTTTGCATAGCTGTGCCGTCACAGAAATTGACCTATTATTTACCACTAGCTAATGTGTTATACATCTTTTATCACAACAAGATTGCTGCGCATGATATCCACGTTTGTTGCCAATGTTCTTAACTCTAGGCCGCTGCCTTGGATTTCAACACTTCCCGGTGTAATGGAAATGAAGCTAAGATAGTATCTAGTTAAAATATTATACGCCTGATGATATTGGCGAGTACCTTCGGGTTCCCAGCTGTGGAGTCGAGAAGAAAATCTAGTTTCTCTCTTAACAGCAATAATTTGCCCGCATCTTCAGCATCAGTTTGATGTATAAACTGATTGAATGCGTTGATGAAAGTATGAAAGTTTTCAAACTTACCATCAAATTTTTGGACTTTATCTGCCCATTTCATATTAAAAGATTTTCTAAAAACTGGTTCCATACCTGGTCTAACAAATTCAGACTGTGTCTGACCAGATGTTGATGGAAATGTATAACCAGATGTAAATGGATTGATAGTCGAATGGACTATTGGAATCTCATGATTATTAGAAAACGTAACACCTGGTTGTTCAGGGAATTTGAAATCTAATTTCTTAATCACCTTTGGTGTCATAAAATCTAAAATATTGGGAGATGAAAATAATCTAGAAACGGATGGTCTCTATGTCGTAAATAGCCGCGGTAATTGGTGTTTAATCACTATCAAGTGAGTAGTTCGCACAGTAGATGTAAAACTGTAGTAATCAGGATCGTGTTCAGGTTTTCTCCAAAGCGAGCTTGGTGATACTGACCTAGTCAAAGGAATAGAGGTAACGAGTACCGTCATCATCAACCCGGTCCTTATTGGTTCATGTGTGGACATTTTGCATAAAAACTGAACCGCGTTTTTTCTGTTTTTTATTCATTAATTCTTTTCATTTGATTTTTTTCTCCATTTTTAATATGAAAATAAAAAAAATAAAACAAACGTAGTCGCCGATGGATTCCTTGTTTTTTTCGCATTTTCTTATTGTTTTATTTGAAAATTCTTAGAAACTTAACCCGTTATTTTCCCACACTTTTGAAAATACAAAATAATGTGATTTCATCATACTACCGGCCTGTAACGATTTTATTTATTTTTATTCCAAAGAGATGCAAAACCAACCGATTTTATAGTAAACCAGCAGCAAAATCAAATGAAAGGAACATTTTGGAAAAATAAAAGTTTGCCGGTTGTGTTTGCCGACAAAATGTGATTGTGTTGTGTGTATATGAAACAATTTCTTACAATCAGCAGCCTAAACACTAAAAAGATGTTTTACTTTACACTTTACTTTTATTACTTTTTTGTTGTTGTTGCCCACCAAAAAAAACCATCAGTATTCAAACGCATAACAAAAGGCAAAGTGAAAAAGGGGCAAAGCCAATAAGTGAAAATAAAATGATCGCCTTACAAACAAACAAAAACAAAAAACATTCATAGCCATAAAGTTGGAACTTTTTTCTCTTCTTTTTTTTTGTTGGAATATTCTTGGGTGTTACTTGCAGAGAAAAACCAAAGTTTTTTTTTCTTTTTTTGTCTCCAAACAAGAAACAAAAAAGTTCTAAGAAAAACAATAACCGGCGTATTTTTTTTTTGTCTCAGCCCATGAAAATGTGTTGTTTTTCTTTTGTTTCTTTGTCGAACAAAAAAACAACAGAAGAAGAAGAAACATTTTACCGCATTGAAAATGGCCATCATTATTGTAGTAATCGCATGAAAAAAAAGTTGAAACAACGATAAATGGTCATTTTCTTTTGGGTTTCTCGTTGTTTTTGTTGTTGTTGTTGTTGTTAAAAGTACTTTACAACAGAAAAAAATAAAAATCTTTACACCACGACAAGAACTTGCTTCTGGTACTTGGAGCAAAACAAAAAAAAAAAAACAAAAACAAGTAAACGATCCAATAACTGATGAGAATTTTCTTCTGAGAAGAACAAACACCCACACAGACCATAATAAGAAACTTTTAAGATCCTCATCATCATCAAGAAGAATAGAAAAAATTGGCTCATTTTACCCGGTGATTTCGGTTTTTTCTCTCTTTTTCTCTCTCTCTCTCTCTTTTGTCTATCTGTTCTTGGGGATATTACACATTTTTTTACCAAAATTGTCGCACAGTGTTTGTGATTTGAAACTTTTCAATCTTTTTTGTTTGGTTGGTATTTGAATGAATTACGGTCATTTTGTTTGTTTGTTCTCATCGGTAAATGAAACTGTGGTT